TGTCCATTTCGAAAAGAGATCCGCCTTCTACTGGAAGGTCGGAAGGAGATCACTCACTACATCATTCACCAGCAAGGCCTGGAATTTTTTCACAGCCCTCTTTACATGCTTTAGGTAGATGATCCAAGGTGCGACAAATTAAGTTACGGCAAATTTTCATAAACTGCCCTTTGCGTGAGATGCTTGCATTTTCCTTGGAGCTGCTGCCTCCTCCTGGGTTTACAAGGAAAGGCTCCCAGGTCGCCATGGCCATTCAAGAAGAGATGTATACGCCTAGATGTGCCTTTGAACGCTGATCTCAAATCTACCTTCCAAATCTGCTAAACGATTCTCTGAACGGAGTTATGAAGCAAAACAGCGCAACGGTAGTGGTCGGGACTCACAGTCAAAACGTCGTAGGATCGGTCCCTTATCGTAATTACTGTTTTGCATTCTTCAGGAATTCAGTTAAATAAGCTATTAAAAGCCGTTTAGCTGTATTCCTGAAGAATGGAAAACAGTAAACACGATAAGGGACCGATCCTACGACGTTTTGACTGTGAGTCCGACCACTACCTTTTGCTTCATAACTCCGTTCAGAGAATCGTTTAGCAGATTTGGAAGGTAGATTTGAGATCAGCGTTCAAAGGCACATCTAGTGGTATACATCTCTTCTTGAATGGCCATGGCGACCTGGGAGCCTTTCCTTGTTAGTCGTAGAGGATGCTCCCGTATACTGCGGTAGCGACGCTGATCTCTTGCGAACGCATTCTTGGCCCCTGCCACGGTTTTTCAGCCCTTGATAACGAAGGATAAATTTGCGTTCCCACACACGTAAGGCACCGTGAACTCATGCGCTTGCTGTCTGGCCAAGTTGGACCAAATAATTACACTCGGCGCCTTTCCAAACATGAGCTGAATTCGGATAGCTCAGGCAGTGCCAAGTGTAGACGCAAACTTAACGATTGTTCAGTAATCAAAATTGGGCCATTTGCTGGAACTCTAGCTTTGGAATACTCAGCTGATATAGACCTATGTCTCCGCTTTCGGTACCCACTGCTCGTATTCTCTCTGCGGCGTTCATAGCTTTAGAGGGGGGGGGGACAACCGTTGGTACGTGACACAAGGAATAGCTAAAATAGAGGGGATGAGTGCCACAAGGAAAAAAATTGCTCTCGTCTTTCTCAGAATCCCTTCCCCTCCCTAAGGAAGTTCTGTAAGTGGCTAACTCACTTGTCCCTCTCATCGACACCAGCGTCTTCTCTGTCTAGGAAACCTTTACCGAAATGCTAATGAATGGAGTGGTCGACATTCTCAATCTATCAATTGAAGATGCGCCATGTCTCTAACACAAAAATAGATTTGTGAAAAGGAACACGTTCATTTTTTCTTTATCTAGGGCTCTAGCACAATATGGCTATAAATAGGGAGAACGATTTAGCAGATTCCTTAAACTGAGTGTTACGTAGGTTTCCGTGGCTCTCACAAAAATTGGGAGCCATTTGAAGTGCTCAAATTATGCAATATTTTCTCAAAGTTGGGGATGAGGGCTGGGTATTCTTCTCTGAATCGGAAATAGGGCTCAATTTATTCCGTTTTGATTACCATTGTATTAGCCCGTTATGCGTGCATACAGTAACTGAAGACGCATCGGCTAATTCCCGACCGGAAATTAGCATTGGTACAGCTGATCCGCTCGTCTAATCCTCTCGTCAACTACGGCTTAGCTGACGATAACATTTGCACGTGCAGAGCAATCACAACTCTGTGGGCGTGGTCTCGTCCAGCTCACCAACCAATGACAGACGAGCAGAATCGTCATGAAGGGCGGTCCGAAGCGATGGATTGCCATCAGCAGCTAGTTCTCGCCACGATGATGCAGCTACAATACCCATTTGAAGGATTCTCTCAACAAACACGAGTCAATGGTGAGTTCAGCTTCATGAACTATGGAAATGGGCTCCTTGGTCCGAAAGTTTTTGCTGTTTGAGCGGGGAAAGTAAACGCACGGCGTATCCTAGTATTTTATTCTTGTGAACAAGTCCCTTTCCACTCATTTCAGTAAGGGTTTTCATGCGATAAAGAGAGGTATAGGTAATAGAAAGTCATGCTTATACGTTTGGGTCGCAAGGTTCACTGTTCTTGGTTGTGGACGGGGGAAGGGGGCAGTTTTCAGCAATAATCATCGGTTATCATTGAAAGGGGAAAAATGAGAGCAGGTTTAGGGCGTTCTACAAGGTGCAAAGGAAAATCTGTCCATCTTCATCTTAGGAACAGTACGGATCCAGGGGATAACTATGAAATGTCCGCCTGATATGGTGTAAAACTGCCCCTATTTTGAAGTATCCCCAGGAATTTGCAGATTTACTGAATCTTAGAAATTCGTTGAAGATTCCAAGAGTTCTGGTTGTCTATATTAAATATAATCTCTTTCAAGATGCCATTTCACCAACGACAGATCGACGAATGCGACGAAATCGTACAGCGTTCAGTGATGAACAATTGGACCAGCTTGAGAAAACCTTCGAGCAGTGCCAATATCCGGACATCGCCCAGCGAGAACGACTGGCCAGATTGACTCAACTTCCAGAGGCTAGAATTCAGGTAACAGGCATTTTTTGGTCTTTTTTGAAATGATAATTCTCGACACATGCTCATTCACAGAAGGTTCGCAAATTAGGTTGACGGTTCTTTTCCGCATTTTTAAGCGAGTCCTTTTTATTGAACAATGATTGGGAGAGAACAGTAGTAGGGATAGATGAAGACAGTTGAAGACTGCTGCACGAGGGATGAGGTGCTTCGTCAATCAACACACTCTCGGAAGTGCTTTGCATTCAGCTTCCAATCCTTGTCTTTCGGCATTTGATAGTGCACTTGACCTATACAATGAAATTAGCCTGCCGTACGGTTCCAGGTTTATCCTCCCAGTTGAATCTGATAATGACTAAACAACCGCATCAGACCAGTGTCAGCTTGCCACTGAGCTGCTGATCCTACTGACGCTGAAGCTGCTATAATAACATCCATAAGACAATTTGTATGAATCCCACTCTCGCTATCATCAAGGTCTTCATGTCTGTAAAATGACAAAACACTGAAATTTCGAGTGGTATGAAAAAATTCAAATAATAAACGCCCCTTGCTTTTTGAATTCCTTCAACGCGGTTCCAGCGAGAGAAAACGTAAGGAAAGTAGTGTCTTGCTTCGAACAATGAGTCTTTTTCACGGGACGAAAGGATAGTTTTCTTCTGTGTTGCCACCTGCGCTCTTTCACCTAAACAGCGGCTCATGATCTCTCTGATCTCATTCATGCTTTTGCCACCTTGTAATGGGCTCGTCCACCCTGGAGTCTCTCTCCCCCTCCACCCTAGCCTTAAGGCTTGTTTTTAGGCTTTCACCGGGATTTGGAGCAGAGCCAAGCGCCCTCCTAAGCGCCTGCGCCCTAACCATTCGAGGCAAGACTGTAGAGGAAAGTTCAAGTAGCCCTCTAAGCGTTGGCATCTTAGCTGTTGGCTCATCACCGTTCTACCACAAAGATTCTGAAATTCCAAGAAATTTTGCGCGCGAGCTTTTATGGGTAGAGAAATAGCCCAACGCTAATTTTTCTCCACTAGGGACCTATGGAGGGCGGAAGTGGTGTAGTGGCAAGTGGCACGCTTACCACGCGAGCGGTCCGGGGATCAAATCCTGGGTCGTGAGTCGCCCGGGCCAACCAAGCCTTCCATCCCTCCGGGGTCGGTTAATTGGTACCAGACTTGTCTGGGAGGATAAAAACACTGACTTGTACATCGGCTGGCCCCCGCAAGTCATTGTATAGGCCACATCGCATTCAAACGCCACTACGAATGTACAAATGGAAGTAGAATGCGTGCCGCATCCCAAAAAGGGATTGATCAACGGCAAATGCCTTTATCCTTTTATTTGCAGACTTGCTTGCACATGCAAGAGTGGCTTCGAAAAACGATATTACGTGTTTTTGATTTTTAACTGCTGTTCTTGGCCGCAGTTCACCTTGCGAAGTTTCCTCTGAAGTTTCTCTTCTCACATTCCTCAACTTTTCACATTCCGGCCAGGTTTTACTGAGGAAAGCTTCTCATCAGTGGCAGTCTATTTTCATTATTGACGGCATGTTGTATGGCTGTAGCGGCTCATTCTCAAAGCACCGATCAATGGCGCTGTTGTCATACGGTGTGGTATACGGTAATGACAGATTGTGTTTAGACAGCTGTTCGATTCTGCATGTAGTCAATTGCCGCTATACGTGGCTGAGTTAGAGCCCGCAGGAGCATCATCCACTTTAAATCTTCTGTCACAAGCCTGATTAACACTGAAAGGAGATGAGCTTTGGGCTTATGCCGAAAAGTATGGATCAGCGAGTTTTATTGGGCAGCAGATCAAAAGTACTGTCCATTCTAAACGACTGGTTCTGGTCGAAGTTCCTTATCTTCCCCATGCAGCATCTTGAGTAATGACTCATGATATGGACCATTTGTCTTCCTCTGTGATAAATCTTCACCCTACGACCAAAAATACGGCGCAAATTATCAATATATCAAGTTTGGATGGAAGATCGCTCGCTGACTAGCTTTTGTCACCGCTAATTAACGAGTGGGGCGGGGCGCGGCGGGGGGGGGGTCGTTCAGCGAGAACAGATGCTGCCCTTCTAATCCGCATACTTCCTCTTTTCCGCTGCTTCATTGCGCACTTCAAACAGTCACCGTCCCATGTCCGTGGCCATTGCCGCAAACCACTACGCAAATATGCACACCGTATCGACCTACCGTAAGCTAACCAGTCATTGACACCTGCGCTGAAGTCAGAAGGTCGGGGAGGTTCATGAGGTGGTTTAGGCTTAAAACAGGGCCAATCTCTGTTGTACCAAATTCATGGATGGGGTCGCAATCTGAGAGTTTGGCAAGAATGGGGGGGGAGCGTATATTGGTTTTGAGTGTTGCTGATGTCATTAAAAAATCATCGACAGTAGCAAGGGCAAGGAAAAATCTTCAAAGAAACTCCATAAGTGAAAATATAATCTATTAATAATTCCCAGCAATATGTAAATATGTATGTATAAACGATTTTTGAAACTGTCTATTTTTTACAATTTTCTGAAAAATGGCACAATATTTTCTAGTGTGAGGGGACCACCACCCTTTGAATCTGGAATGAATGAAAAACATCTACTAACCAGGAACGGATGGTTGGTCGAAGTGGCCATATGTAAAGAGACCTACACCGGTGGATGTGTTTTTGGACGCTGATCTCGAATCTGCTTTCCAAATCTGCCAAACGATTTTCCGAATGGAGTTATGAAGGAAAGTAGTGCAGCGGTAGTAGTCCGGGTTCACGTGCGAGACGTCGTAGGATCGATTCCCTGGCGGGTTCTCTTTTTTGCCTTCGCTGCAAAATGATTGAAAAAGGCTCCCAACTACCTTACTCGATCAATGCTTGCCTGTAGTTACCCGTGCAAAGACTTTGCGAGGAGTTTCTAATCAGTTTCGGCGGTACTTACTAAAGACTGCACATGGAGCCCACAGAACTCTTGGCAGACGTTTTTGCAGCAAACAAGTGTGATATTCGTGTTCCGGAGAAAAATACCCCTAGGGACAAGTTTGTAGCCAAATTTGAGATTTCGACCAAATTTCGAAATAGGCTGGGTGGGTATCTATCCATTCATCCATCAGCCTATCATCGAAGCCTATATAGCCTTGAGACGATATAAGTTTTTTTTGGTTTCTGAAGAGTGTAAAGCAGTGTTTGTTCGCATGATTTCAACCCCACATTATTATTTTTTTCAAATTTAAAGGGTCGCCGTCGTCCAAAATAGGTCAACCCTGGAACTACCGGCTATGGATATGTAGCATCAATGAGTGACTCGCCCACTTTTTTTGAAGTTAATTCAAAATCTCGAATTTTTCTAGAAATTGGCCCCAGGAGTTATTGGACTACTTGAACACAGATCTCACATTCGTTCACTCAAAAACGGCTGAAGCGCGCGCTCCGTATACTGGCGCGCCTTAACCTTATGTAGTGGCATGCAAGTTAGGAAAAATTTCGAAGTTATCGACCTCAAACTCATCCAAAAGCAAGTAGGGCTGACCAATGATGAAGGAATCATGTTTCACTACTGCCAAATAGTCAGTCACAAAAATGCAAAAGCGAAACACGCGGCGGATCCGAACCACTGACCCGAAATCCCAAGCCCATCGCCTTACCCACCAGGCCACCAGCACACGATCGTAGAGGCTCACTGCTTCGTTCACGAGCCGCTGCTGCTGAGGCCGATTTCTCACTGTGTTAAACTGTGTGAGGGAACAAAAAACCTCCGTAACTCCGTTCAGCGAATCGTTTGGCAGATTTGGGAAGAAGATTCGAGATCAGCGTCCGAACCACATACATGACCTTGATACTTGTCTCATTTCATATGGCCAGCTTCGACCTTTCATCCTCCTAGTAAGCTTTCTCGCTGTACAACACCTGGCTTGTTAATTCATCATTTGGTCGAGACCAATTGGCATTTGACAGCTTCGTGAGAGTGATCGCATAAAATCGATAGTTCTGATTACTTAGTGTGTGGTTCAATTAAATTCGGTCGTCGTGCAAAACAACGAAAACATCTGAGAAATCAAAGCGGCGATGAGACTTCTCCGCCACCACTACCCACCAATTCGACACCCAAGGAGAACACTATATTCAGTGAGTTTTACATCTATCACTGATCTATAGATTTGTTATACAAATGTTATTATTCTACATACAATACATCATTGTAATATATCAATTATATATAATAAAACATAATGTATATGTAAAGCATAAGTGTATACCATAATAATGTTTTGTATATAAGCATATCTTGGGAATAATAAAATAAATAGGCAATTGACAACACTCAAGAATTCAGGTCTCTACAACTCTCGTTCTCAACCAATACACAGGTGACCAATGACTAGCAGCGGGCGAAGGATCGAAGCGCTTCAGTTCTGATCATACCCATTCAACTCTAGTGCGCCTGCACTCGAACTCGCCTGAAAAATCCCAGGAGCATAATAATAAAATATATTTCCTCCACGTGGTGGCCTGCGTGGGTTAACCCATGTGCAGATGAAGATTCTGTCCTTTCATGCTACCCTGGTTACAAATTGTTTGCCCTCAAAATCATCGTGCATGAAAAAGAGCATTTTTATCTCCACCAAAAACTGCACCTTCACCGCGTCTCCTCCAAAGAGATGCGTTCAACTGATGTTTACTTGTGCCCAGAGTCAACCCTGCGTTGCGCAGTTCGCAACGGCACGTTGAGAGATCCTCAACGCACGCTGTATGGGCGGAGACGCAGACGGCTCGAGCATGCGAGTGTGAATGTTCGCGCGAGAGAACGTGTCTAATCGGGCGAAACTGCGCAACGTGGCCGTTGAGAACTGCGCAACGCAGGGTTGACTCTGCTTGTGCCTCGTAACCACCGCGCTTCGTAAAATAACAAAAAAAGTCTCAAAGTTTTGACTTGATAACAAGGTCTGACTAGCTGTATGATACGTAATAGTGAACTTATATACAACTTGAATTCGCCTAGAAACTGTCATTGCTGCTGATAGTGTTCAACACCTGCAAACCTCTTGAACGTGATTTGTAGATGTAGAAAAGATGTAACGATTCACTTTTGCTAAGATCTGCGACCACTCCACGAATTCCTTCGTTCCACCACAAACTCCTTTGCTGCTCCCTCTCTACCAGCAACTGCTAGGATGAGTCTCTTTGGCGGGCAGTTTTCCTATCATTTTTTTGCTCGAAATACTTAGCATGGTCTTTTAGCCACCAACGGACTAATACGGCGAAAGGAAGGAAGAGGGTTTACCGTACATGGTAGCCTTTACCGGTTCGAAAATATGCTGTTCAAGATATCGATCGAATCTGCAAACCCTGCCACGCAGTGTTGTCTGATTCAGCCGCCTCCACTGTACATGCTTCTATGTGAAAAGGGGATTGTATAAATATTAATAGTGCATGTTGTGCTGGATAAGAGGCGTTACTCGTTATCGTAATAGTCTAAGTAATTTCGAAATAGACGCCTTGAAAAGGGTGGAATAGCGCTTGATAAGAATCGTTTTGATCTCTGCGAGCTCTTCAATATTTATCGTTTCCTGCACGGACTTTTGGCCCGTGCCGGGCTGGCGCGCGCAATTGCGCGGCGATTCCCGGACGCTTCGCGGTCTTTTGCGGCGGGATCGTACAGTTAGTCAGTAAAAGTTTAAGCGTGTGAGTATTGCGGATCAAATCCGCAAGGTGCTGCGATTCGAATTATATGCCCATATTTCGCCGTCAGATAAGGCGTGTCTATGTATTTGACGTGGCCGTCGTCGCACCTGATAGAAGTCGTGTAGATAAGTCATTTCTGATATATTCCGCTGGTTAACAGCGAAGCATGCTGGAGGTAGCTTATCCGCGCAACTTCTATCAAGTGCACGTCACTTCCGGTGACACCCACCCCAGGCACTTTTGATATCTACGGTAGTTGAAAAATAAACCAATTATCTCATAAATTCTAATCCGCATCCCTGATTTTTCGCGTATCGCTGTGATGATAGTAGTGACATGAAGGCGCTCTCTCATCTTGCGCCGAAATCTCCTCACCAACGCCGCATCAAATCTCGTGCGCGGAATGTTTTTTGAATCGCAAAATCATGCGTAGCTTATCCACAATCTGCGCACGCTTTGACGGGTTGAATTCTACTGTAGAACCCGCAAACCTTGTCACCTCCGGATCGCCGCGCATACCGCCGCGCGACTCGCCGCATGTCAGCCCGGACGAGCTAAAAGTCCCGCACTCTATGCACACTATCATACGAACTAATCGATTTCCGTTGTCCAAGTGATCCCTCTGCTTTCAGCGTGGACGCCAAGTGCTGCCTTTGCAAATCTCTTTCCAACGCCGACGACATGTTACGGGCAGTATCCAAACGTTTATGCCGTATCAACAAAACCCTGTAAGTTTTCTGCAACTAAGCAGGAATCATTGATGAAATCGAGAAACTGCTTTACAAATATCAGGTTCAGTGTTGCTGATTCTAAAAATGACTTGGCGTGCTCATGAGAAGCGTTTGTATGAAATTTTGTTTGAAGCCTCGAAACACCTTTCGGAGTGCTCTTAGAAAATCATTTATACTCTTGTAGTATTGGGCCGATCTACCCGTCACTTAAAAAGCAGAAACTGGTACCTTACGGAACTGGTAACTGGTTACTACTCCCTCTCAAGCTTTTCCAACCATCTCAAGGTTCTGTGTTCATATCGTTATTTCGACGAGGGGTTAGAGCGTTGTTAAAAAATTCGGCTCATATCCGAGCGAAACACAAACAATACTCGGATAGCTAGTTGCTAGTTGCTGAGGAGGTGCTCTTCGCTGGCAAAAGGCCGTGCTTCAACTGCACTCTTGAAGGCCGTCAGTGAGTTCGTTAGGAGTGGCCATGGGGATGTCAATGGTTACGTGCAGTGGCAAAAAGCAGAGAAAAGCCTCAATGCAAAGCAAAAAAGGCTTGCTTTGATCTCGGTGATGATCGGTGAGGGTATGTAATTTAACTGACTGAGGGGTTTTGATCAGGCGACGCTGTGTAACCCAAGAAGTGCACCAAACAATGGTTACAGTATTGTCCAGATAGAACATCATCGATGACCTTTGGCTCGAGTTCACCCACGCTCCACAACCTGGCGCTCAATAATATCAGGTTACTAAACCGATTTGGGCAACAATAATTGTCACGGCGGTTATTCAATCACTATGTACAAGACCTTGTGTAGACAAACAGTAAATTTGGCTTCTGAAAGCTGTTTCTCCAATAAAGTATATTTCCCCGCTGAGCGCCATCGCATTTCGACTGGCGGCCATGAATCCTGTATTTCTGATGGAGGCCGCGAAATGGCCTCTCATTCGCGAGCAGGTCAGTGAGGTACATCATCACAAATCCATTTCACTCTGGCACTCATTGCACGATGAATGTTCCTTCTGATTTTCTCAAATAAATGATGGTCCAGTGGGTCCTAAGGTGCTCTAAAATCCTATTTTTTATCCCATCGGGGTGTCTTCTATGCCAACTTTCGTTTCCTGAAGGCTGTAATTGAAATCCAAGAAATCCGGCTTTAATTCCTTGCCAGACTGTGATTGAAATTCAAGAAATCCGCTTCTTATCAGTCTAAAATAATTGGTTCTCACCAGGCGTCGATCAGTGATGCTGGAGATCATCTTGCCTTGAGGTCAATAAAGATAAATGTTGGTCGATAAATGTGCTTCTATTGAAAACTAGGTTGCGCTCATAGTCGGCGACTCGTCGCAACGATTGATTCGCCGGCTATGAACGCGACCTTAGATGGTGCTGAACCATCACTGTGGNGGCCATTTTAGNNNACTNCNNGTGGATGTCGTTAGGGAGCTTGCCGCACTGCGAACACGCCGTGTTGTGGTGGTGCGTCGCGCTCCCTGCATTCTTTGTGGTAGGTACCGTATCCTGTCAAACTCGCATTCGTCCACAGTCGAACGTTCTGTATAGGAAATTACTGAGTAAAGATCCTCCTTTGTCTCTGTATACTTCCACCCGTGATTTATCTGCCCTACGAAGTCATCAACCAGAAACAAGAATGTTATTCAAGCCATGGTGTAATTTTGCACTGATTTCGTAAAATGAGCGACATTCTACGTGAACTACCACAGTTTAATTAATTTTAACGCAAAAATGCCCCCTTCCACTAGCGCACATTAAACAGCCACGTCTGGAATCACCTGCTGCGCTATCTGCGCCGTCGCGCCATAGTCCTCCCAATTACACCCGATTTTTTTCATGATGAATGAATTTAGGTAAATCAGTGGTATTCCTGTAATAAATTTCTATTTCAGGTTCATTTTCAACACATCCCTTCACCATTCAATATGTGATGTCCGCAATGCTAATTTCATACATCCTTTGTATGCTGCGGCCAGGTGCGTCTGCACTGCACACTTCACAACCACCCCCAATCGACCGGACCATCAGCAACAAAAAATTATTTGTACTCCCGGTGTAGCCCAGACGTGACACGCCGCCCACTACGTTGACAAGGGCATTTATAATTAGTGGCAATTGATAGAACAGAACTGCAGTTGGGTGAAAACACTATTTTGTGTAGGCTGTCGTCAAATGTGTTGTTTGGGCTGCATTACAGACGTGCTGCTCGGAAACGACCGACATAGTAATTATACGAAGTTATTACGTTTTCTGAGAATAGTACCGTATTGTGTCGTGTCCTTTCATACTTGCACTAATAAACTTGCCAGTTTATTTACTATCTTCACGTTGTATTTACATCATACATGATATATCTAGTTATTTCCTTTGATCCGCAGACACTACGTCATGCACATGTCCTTGCACTCATTGTATGTGGCGAAATTGTTCGCATTACCATCTCGTCCATAGAATGTGAAGAGCATACAGTTCTTCAGACTTTTACTGTAGAAATATCTGGAAACGATAAAGTTTTTGAAAGGAAAACATTTGCACATCTTCTTAAGCAATGTGAACTCTTTGTTGACAGCATAGCCAATCGCCTGACAAATTTCGAAAATTTTATGGTACCCACACCACCACACATGGGGGGCTGCCCACGAATACGTCCCCCTCACCGCCACCAGGGTGAATAACGGTCAAGAAAATCCTCGACCATGGCTCTGTACTGTGTCGAGAGTGAATGTACGCG